GGTTGTAGTTCTAGCAATTACATCTTTACTAGAGCTTTCCAGCCTCTACTTAAATGCCAAAATCATCAACTCTTTTGTCAAGCAATTCTTAATGCTCTGGAAGTTTTCACTAAATTTTAGCTGGAATCTGCTTCCTGGCTCATTTTTTGTATATTAACAATTTTTCATGCATTTGAAATCAACAGTATCTTCCTTTAATCTGTTCTTCAAGCTAAATTCACCCAGTTGAAAGATCTTCCCATCATTTTCTTTATCCTCTTTACATTTTGTCAATGATGTTTGTAAAATGTGAAGTACATGCAGGCAGGAATTTCTCCAAACAAATATGGCAGTAGCAAAAATTAAACCTGGGACATGGGATATGCTTTAGCTTGGAGCTATCACATTTTCTGCAGACTTGTCCAGGCAGTCTCTGATAATTGAACATGACTGAACAGAAGGGGAAAAATGCTTTGTAGATGTTTGTTTCAAAATAATTATAAATTTCATGAGATATGAACAGATTAACACAGCAGCCTAAATTTTTTTTTAAATGGGTGGGGTGGAATTAAGGCAACACAGTACTTGCACATATATTTCAAACTAGCTACCAATTAATTAAAACATGGATAGTTTCATATATGGCAAAGTTTTTTTATTCCTTTGGGGGGTGGGGAGAAATCTTCTGATTAGGAAAACATGTTACTTTACTCCCAGTCACAAAAGTTAGGACTGTAAATATGGGTTAATCTCCAATTAATTGTATTGTAACTACCTGACCCATCTTTCTCTTAGATATTTTTCTGAAAAGATTTTGTCCAATTTCTTTTTTCAATTAAAAACTTTCATTTTTTCCCTTGTAGTATTTTGTTAATCCTGCTGAACTAGAACAAACTGACAAATGAAAATGTATTTTGGCATGGGTAGACAAAACTATCACTGATCTTCTACATCAGAATTCAGGATGTTATTGATCATTTAGCACTTAGACTTATATACTGCTTCACAGTGCTTTACAGCCCTCTAAGTAGTTTACAGAGTCGGCATATTTGGGTCCTCATTTTACCAACCTCAGAAGGATGGAAGGCTGAGTCAACCTTGAGCCAGTGAGACTCAAACTCTTGGAGTAAACAGTGAGTTAACCTGCAGTACTGCATTCTAACCACTGTGCCACCAAGGGCTCTATTAAGCCATGTCTTATTTAAGACAGCTATCAAATCTAATCAAAATAATTTGAATGTGCTATTGGTTTATTACAATGATGGCGAATCTTTTCGGCACCGAGTGCCTGGGAACGTGCCTGGGCCGCAACCCAGAAGAGGAGCTGCACACACCCAAAAAATGAACTTCCGGTTTCAGCTACTGAACTTCGTTTCAGTCAGCTACTCTTCCGGGTTTCTGGAGCACATGTGTACGTGACGGCCAGCGTGCATGCTCACATAGGAAAAAGGAAGACCAGCTCTTCAAGTTTCTGGCATTGACACATGCAAAAAGGCCAGCTGATCGTCACACGCTCATGTATGCCAGAAACCTGGAAGAGGAACGGGCGATGCCATCCGTGCCAGGCTCCATGGCTCCATGTGCCACTTCGGGCACACGTACCATAGGTTCGCCATTACGGCGCTATTACAACAATTTTGTTTATTCTGTAGAATTAAACAAAATTGGAAAGCTATGAAAGAAAGTTCTATTACTTTGAGGGAAAGGATGAAATGCTATCAACTTTTTTGAAGTGGGAAGCACTATGGAAAATGATTTTTATTAAAAATTAAAATAACTTTTTATTAAGACTTAAACAAGAAAATAAAAGTCCCCATAAAAGATGGGTGGTTAGGAAATAGTAAATTTAAATAAATAAATAAAAACTATTACAAACCAATATAAAGTAAGAAAGAAAAAGAAAAAAACTACAAGAAAAGAGAAAAGTAGAAGAAAAGTAGAAGAAAAGTAAAAAATATGAAGTGGCTTCCAATATTCTGCATAGCGGTTATTAAGTAGAAGTATTTTTTAATCTCTCTAAAATTACAAAATATTCTTTTTTCTATAATTTAGCCTGTCTGATCATCAAAGCCATAAATCACCACTTCATTGTATTCGTTTTTATGTGAAAAGTGCATAAGAGGCTTCCAGTCACTAATAAATGTAGATAATATCTTCTCTAATCAAAGAAGTCTATCCATTTCAACAAGATCTGTAAATTTCACCAACCATAGTGGGTAGTGTCAGATCTTTCCACCTCTGCACATATAATAATCTTGCAGTAATCCTATTACAGCTCCTGTCCTCTAGAACAGCATCCCCCTGGAGTTATGCATAGCTGCAAGAGACCTGGAGGACCCTTAAACCTGGCGCTGTTAGGCTTAGGGTACCTGCTGAGACCTGTTGAGTCTTTTCTTTTCTTTTTTCATATTCGTTTAAGGTGTTTTTTTTTAATCCATGTATTGTATATGGATTCTTCCTCAGGTGAAGAATTTGAGGGCCTCCAGATTATTCTAGGCTGTACAAAGCCCTAAATAGCTCCTTTAACCTTTATCCATTAATTCTTTCATCAACTTCATACTACAGTGATTGCAAATTTAATGTCCTTTTGTGCTTTCTTTTTAGAGCATTTACAGATTGTAAACAAAACAAGGTGCCAAGCGCTCTCCAGAGTGCTGATTGCTTTGGCAATGTAGTCAAATATCTTTGAAGCATATCAGTGCACTTAATTGCTGTACAAGGTGTCAAGAAATTGGGCAAGTCATGACAGTAACCACTTCATTATACATAAAGAAGTGTGTACTGTTTTTAAGCATTAGGTGACACTTTCTGAATTACAAATTGTAGTTTATGTAACCAGATCACTACTGGATTTTAAAGAGCTTTATCCACCATGTGATGTGTCCAGTTTGATGCATATGGTTACAATTACATGCTGGATCTGATCACGTGCATGCATTAATCAAATATGATAGATCATACTGGGTGTTGTGCCTTGTGATTCTTGATGAGTGTATCTTGTCTTTTTATGTACACTGAGCATATGCACCAAAGACAAATTCCTTGTGTGTCCAATCACACTTGGTCAATAAAAAATTCTATTCTATTCTATCAGAAACTGTTTGAATTTTTATTACTACAGATTACTCCCAAACACACCTTAAAAAGGCAGTTGTGAATTAAAGACTTATGAGTAGCCCTAATAGATCAAAATATCTATAGACAATTAGGTCAAGAAGCTCACAAACACAAACCAGGCTGTCAACAATTTTGGGAGTCACAAATAGCTAACAGTACTAAAACATTAATCATATCTTTGAAATTTGTTCAGTTCCCCCTTAAAATAGTCTAAATTGGCATTTATCACTATATTTGATGGTGGCACATTCCAAATTATATATTATGTAAATAAGTTGTACCTTTTATCAATGATGAATCTCTGACATTTAATTTTGTATACTTCTATACAAACATAAGTTCTTTTCCTTAACAAAGTAGAGGTTGAAGGCATCCATTCAAATGTGTAGAGATCCAGCTTTTAACAGGAAAGAAAGAAGAAAAAGGAAATACAAGATTTCCTCTTACTTATTTTTCTTCCTGTTAAAGGTTGTACTTGTTATTTACATGGTTTTTGTTCCAATTCAGAAATCCTAAATGACATACCCACATACAGTACAAACAGTAAGATTAAAAAATAAATAAAAGTATACAAGGAACAAGGGAGCATCCTAAAATGTTGATCACTCCTTTTTTTTTTAGCTTTCCAAGATCTTTTTCAGATGCAGTACTCAAAACTAAACACAGTATTCAACATAAAGGCTCATTGCACTTTTATATAATGATATTATTTACACTGCTTTATTTTCCATTTTTCCCTAATGTGTCCAAGCACAGAATTTGCTATTTAACAACAAATGGTTGGCTGGTTTACTCACTATGGATTGATGGCTAAAGGGAAAGTATTATGAATAGCTGAAATCTTCATTTGTTTTGTTGTTTTTGTTGTTTTTGTTCTCTCTCCTGTTTTCCCACAATGCAGCCTATAAGGCAAATAAATGCCCAACAAATAAAGATACAGCAAATAAATGCCCAGAAGTAGGATTGGAGGGGGGGGGATTACTATTTAGGAGGGAGAGAGAATGTATTATAGCAACGTGGTAAGAGCAAGGCTATTCTGTTTTTACCGATATCTGTGATACAGGTTTCTAAGAGGTCTTTGTTTTGCTTGTTACGTGAATTTCAAGATCAAATAAAACCTGTAGGCAACATGACAAATCCCATCCTTGAAGCTCGTTATAAATTTTGCTGAAGCCACTTCTTTCGATTTTGTAAATGTTTTGGACTACAACCTCCTCGTCTCCCGGCAGGGACTCTCTGAACGGCAAAGACAAGCTGAGAATCGAAAACATGGTTTGAATCTCAGGCTAACTGGGTTGAACAAGTTTACATGCCTCTAAAGCAGAGACCCATCTGGTAGTTAATACTTTCTATTAACACCCATTTGTATTTTATATGAATAACGTAAGTTGTTTTTTAATTGCTACAGGAGAAAGATCACCACTGCACAGGGGAGGCGGAGGGAGCAGGAAATGACAGCTATGAATAATGACAGGCGCTCGCTGAGAAAATGGAAAGACTAGCAGGAAACCTACTGGGGGAGAGGGGAGGGGGGGAGAGGAGGGGGCACTACCCCTGCGAGCGAGTCCACGCTGTACTTTCCTATTCTCGCTCTTCGCACGTCCACGTCCCCCTTCTTCTTCTTCTTTTTTTTTTTTTTGTGCTAGGAAGTCAACAGCGCGGACCCTTTAAGAGCCCGCGCTTGCGCCCTGCCGGCATTTTCCCGGGGTGGGTGGGGGCGAAAGGAGGCACGGACTCTCCAAAGCGGCAGCGAACGTGAAACGGAGTGGGGGGGGGGGGGGGGCCGTTTTTTTTTTTTTTTTTTTTGGCTCTCGTCACGTACCCTTTCCTCCCGCCGCGTCCCTGGTCGCGTGCGTTCGGCGGGCGGGCGCGCGCGGAGGCGAAGATGGCCTGCACGCGTGCGCCGGCGCATTCTCGTCCCTCGTGCGTGTGCGCGATTCAATCGCTCTAGTAGCCGCTGTCGCGGGAACGCCGCCGCCGCCAACCACCCGCCTCAGTCAGTCACTCAGCCAGCCAGCCCTGAGAGGGAGAAAGGGAAGGCGAGGGAGCGGGCGGGATTATTATGGGCTGTGGGTGCTGCTGTTGCTGAGGCTGAGCAAAGATGGAGCTCTCTGCAGTGGGCGAGCGGGTCTTTGCGGCCGAATCCATCATCAAGCGGCGGATCCGAAAGGTGAGTTGCGGGCCGGCGGGGCTCGTCTTGGGATCGCTGCCGTTGCCACCCTCTCTAACGCGCTCCCTTTTTTCTTCTCCTTTCCCCCTTTTTCCGCTCTCCCTCCCTCCCTCCCTTCCACCCACCTACCTACCTACCTTTCCGCCCACGTATTTTGCAGGGACGCATCGAATACCTGGTGAAATGGAAAGGCTGGGCCATCAAGTGAGTTGCTACCTTCCAGCCTCGAAGCCCCGTTCCCGCCTCTTGGGGCCTGGCCGGACTGGCACTCTGCCTTCCTCCTCTCTTGGAGATCAGAGCCACGGGGCCAGTGGGCGGTTGGCTGCCTGTCTCTTCTCCCGTCCCCCTTCCACCACCACCACCACCCCACCCGCCCCGCAAACTCCTCGGTGCACACGAACACCGTGTCACCCGCTCTGTTCGTCTGAATCTCTGCAGGTACAGCACTTGGGAACCCGAGGAAAATATCCTAGATTCTCGCTTGATTGCAGCCTTTGAGCAAAAGTGAGTTGGAAGTCTTGAAAATCAGAGGAGGGATTGCTGTGGCTTTATTTCCTGTAGTCAGGAAGTTTTATTTATTTATTTATTTATTTAATTTTTATACCGCCCTTCTCCCGAAGAAGTTAAAATGTTTATTTTAGAAGAACGTTCTCTTTTTTAAACCTTTGCTTTTTAATTGTTTGTGTTTGGGCTCTTTTTTTATATAAAGAAAGTTTCATTTCTTTTTCCCACTTCAACAAGGGAACGTGAGCGTGAGCTTTATGGACCTAAGAAGAGAGGACCTAAACCTAAAACTTTTCTGCTAAAGGTAACTTCTGTTTAATAACTTGATGGTTGATTAAGGTTTTTGGGTTCTGTTGTGTAAATATTAAAAAGTGGAATTGGAAAGGAATAGATAAAAATCAAATGCTCTTTGGTCTTCTTCATTATGGTTGAATACAGTCTCTAACTGATAAATCTGACAAACTGTCATGTGTTAAATGTTGTGATCGGTGTGATGACAAAACAGAAGTTTGTTTCACTGAATCCTACATTTCAGTGTCATTGAACTGGCACTGACCAATGGCTATAAGCCATCCTTTTTAATTTGCCATCCTTTTAAAAATTGACCTTATTTTGAATTGATAGCTGTTTGATTTCAAAAAAGTGAAGAAGTTACTCCTAATTATCATTGGAAGAGAGATCACCAGAAAACCACAGATTTTTTAAAATGCCAGAAGTAGTAAATAATTTTTATTTGTTGTCAAGAAAATTACAAGGACATTGTGTGCTACTTTAGGCACTACTGTGAGATGGGCAACTTTATAAATCATTTAAATAAAAAACCAATGGTTTATTATGGTCATAGATCAGCATAAATTAAAGTCTTTACTACTTATTTGAACATTCACAAGTTATCCCACTGCATGGAGGGAAGTAAGCAATGGGGTATCACAAGGTTTTGACTTGGACCCAGTATTCTTCAATATCTTCATAAATGATTTAGATGGAGGAATAATAGACACTAAGCTGGCAGGAATAGACAAAACCTCAGAAGACAAGCTTTGCAAAAGGATCTTGACAGACTTGCCCTCTCTAATTTACAACTGTAATTGAGCTTAGAATTTCCATGCTTAATCATGAGAGTTGTAAAGTCGAGACACCCATGTGGCCAACCTGATTTTATATATTTTTTTGTAGCGGTCGTTAAGTGAACATGGCATCCTTAAGCAAATGCTACAATTGTTAAGCAAATCCATTTATTCCTATGGGCATTTTTATGCAAGAAACTGGCTGAAAAAGCCAGAAACTGCCAAAACCATAAATTGCAGTCATGTGACCAGGGTACACTGCAACTAGCCATAAAGGTGAACCTGTTGCCAAGTGCCTGAAATGTGGCTATGTGACCATGGGAGGGGAAGGGTTTATAGCACCATAAGAACTCCAAAACCGGTTTTCTGTGGCGGGGATTTTCTAGCTTTCTAGCTTGTGGGATCCATCATAACTTTGAACAGTAAGTGAGGAGTATCTATAATTGACTTAACCTGAACATTAACTGGATGCCATTACAGTCTTAATTCTATATGCTAATCTGTGGCTTTTCTAGCATAGTATTATTAGTAGAGAAGATCTGTCTAAAAGATTAATGATTGCTGCTAAGTAGATTACAATGTTTTAGGATCAGAAATAATATTTTTGCAAATCCTGGAAAAGTGCATTTCATTACATTGCTTGTTTTTGCAGGAGTCTATTCATTTTCAAGTGACTAGACATCATAATGATTGACACTATCTAGAAGATCATATTTAATCTGTCTATGGCCTGTTGCTAGTCATCCATGGATCAAAGAGTCCAAATAGATTTTTGTTGATTAAAATCAAAACAGTTTCCAGATCTTACATTTGTAGCAAATTGCCTACAGTATATTCCTAACAATTTTGTATGACATAATTTTTTTTTTCGCTTTAATTTATATGCCACCCTTCTCAGAGACTCAGGGCAGTTTACAATGCATTAAGCAATAGCCTTCATACTTTTGTATATTTATACAAAGTCAGCTTATTGCCCACACAATCTGGGTCCTCATTTCACCTACCTTTGAAAGGATGGAAGGCTGAGTCAACCTTGAGCCTGGTGAGATTTGAACTTGCAGCAATTGCAAGCAGCAGATGTTAATAACAGTGCTTTAATCCACTGTACTACAGGCTCTTTTAATAAATTACATTTTAATGGTTAAATATTTCTACTTGAAACTCTGTTTCTTGTTTAATAGTGACTTTATCCAAATTTGACATTGTTTCCAACAGATATTAGTATAGCTGCCTAGAGTAACCCCACGGAGAGATAGATGGCAAATAAATTTATAAATAAATAAATGTACAAATAATAAATAAATAAAATTATATATATATTATGTCTCACTTCTCTAGTGAGTAGTTAAGATCACTGATTTCTTTGGATGGTCTGAAAAAGGGTCTACACGAAAACTAGTGATGTCAGGATATTTTAGCTAACAGTGTATTCACAGAAACTACTTGTCCTATGAACTGTTAATTTTGTAAGCCTTTGTGTTTTTTTTTTCATTTAGGCAAACTAATTTGTACTGTATTGCTGGGTTCAAATGTATGCATCAAAGTTAACTAATCTATTGTCATTTTTAATTAGTAAACATAAACCCTTGATTCTTTGTGTTCCTTAACATCCTAGTATGCTAAAAAATCAAAATATATTTCATACAGTCCTGTTGGGATTTCCCTGTGTGTAACCATATCATGTTTAGGTTAGACTAAGTTTAGGAAAAACTGCCTTGTTAATTTGAACTACAAGGAAGCTGTATTAGAAATCCAGAACTCATTCTTCACTTCATCTTTTTTGGCTTTGTGTTTAGAATTATGTTCCCAATTCTAAGGATCCTGGACTTTAGCACATAGATTATATTTTATTCCAATCTAACTCTATGTTTTTCATTTTATCCCATCTACTGCAGGCTCGGGCCCAAGCAGAGGCCCTACACATTGGGGATGTACATTTTTCTGTCAAGCCCAGTTCTAGCACATCCTCACCAAAACTGCACTCCAGTGCTGCAGTGCACCGGCTCAAGAAGGACATCCGAAGATGCCACCGTATGTCCCGGCGTCCATTGCCCCGCCCGGATCCACAGAACAGTGGAGTGGGTGGGAGCACTGGCATACGCCCCCCTGTCTCTCCTTTCTCAGAGACCGTACGCATCATCAACCGCAAAGTGAAACCTCGTGAGCCCAAGCGTAGCCGTATTATTCTCAATCTGAAAGTCATTGATAAAAGTGGCAAAGGAGCAAGTGGGGGAGGAAACTTGGCACGTTCTAAGATCCCTTCCCGAAATCGTGTAATTGGTAAGAGCAAGAAGTTTAGTGAGAGCATGCTTCGTAATCAGATCCGCCACATGAAATTCGGAAGCTTCCCTCTGTATAACAAGCCATCTGTTCCAACCCCATCATTAGAGGGGAAGACAGAGGCAGGAGGTTCTCAAGATGCTTCTTGTGGACTCATGGGCTCTTCTGCCTATGATGCCCGCAGTTCCAGCTCCTCTGACTGCCCCTCACCAGCTCCACACTCCTCATCTGATCCAGATGATTCCCCACCAAAGCTGCTTCCCGAGATTCTAAATCCTGCCATTCCTGACTGGCGTGAATCTGAGGTCCTCGATCTGTCAATTCCACCTGAGTCAGCAGTGACCAGTAAGCAGTCACCTTCCAGAGGGAATGGAGTAGGTCAGATCCCATCATCTCCACTGTCTTCTGACCCAGAACAGGAGGCTGGTGATTGGCGACCTGAAATGTCTCCATGCTCTAATGTGGTAGTTACTGATGTCACCAGCAATCTATTAACGGTCACAATCAAGGAATTCTGCAATGCTGAAGATTTTGAAAAAGTGGCAGCAGCCGGAGGTGGTGGAGGAGGAGGAGGCAGCAAATAAAGAGGTGTATTCCTCTTTCACAAATGTTGGGGGCGGGGGAGGGGACAAGGAGGCTATACTGCAAGACCATGCATGATATGAATGCTTGCTTTCTTCTCTCTTCCTTCTCATCTGTTCTTTCTCGTTTTGCTTGGAAATTAAGTTGATAGAGGAATGGAAATAGATGTGTTTGAAATTCTCCAATGTCACAGTTGTTAGGACTCATGCTGGGAAATAAATTTTCCTTTTGTGCATATTTGGAGGTCTTCAAAAATTGCATCTTTTTGACAGGAACCTGGTAAATAAGAGCTTGGGAGAATGGTGGGTATATTAAGTGAATGATATATTTTCCCCTCGTGTTAAAAAAACAACAACAAAAGTAACCCTTTGGCCAAACTCAAAGTAGGGAGTTTATTTTCCGTGAATTGCCACTTTATTCCTGTCACCTTTCCTGTGTATTTGTATATATGGGAAACTGCTACAGAACTTAGAAACCGTTACAGAACTTCATAGGGATTGGGTGTGCCTAATCCTGCAGTGCATTTCTGAATGTTGTTCCATTGTGCATGTATTAGAAGTGCAAATAAGGTAGTTCTCTAACATTTGTAGATGGCTTAGGCCCACTTTCCCTTTTTCATTAGCCTTGAACTATATCTCTAATAGTTCCTGATTGTAATACATTTTGTATTTTTTTTACTGTTAAGCTAAAGCTGCTTCAGTCTTATGAAGCTGTTAATCTTATCTTGCATCATTTGTTCTTCTTTACATATCAGATGCATGAGTTTTATTTTTTCTGAAACCTTATTTCAGAAAAAGTGGGGCCTAATACTCCTTTAAAAAAGTGCATTGAGCTGCAACCCACTATTCTTATTTACATTGGTATATTTAGATATATGCCAGCAAAGTAGGAAAAAGGTGCTTGCTTGTGCTTTTCCTTCTTTCTATTTTTCTCTCTGTAAAAGAGATGGAAGAACATTCATTTCTGCAGTTCCCAAGACTTCAAGTTGCCTGTACAGTTGCCAACCAAAGGTGCTAAGAACATATTGTAAACATTTATTATATGTCTCTTGGATCTTGGTATGTTTGTTGGGAGACAGTGTGTATGTTTAGTGTATGCTTGCCTCTTCCTCCCATCCACCCGCCTGCCATACCTTCCTTTCATTTAATTCATTCTTACTGAAACCTGAGTGCTTTGTAAGCAAATAATGTAGTTGCTTTTGCTTTATTGCCTCCACCTCCACCACCTACAAATGTTAGGAACAATGACTCCATGTATTGATGACTAACATTCACTGAAGTATTTCTTCAAATTTCCACTTCATAGTTCTTTTGTCACATGTTCCAGCTTTGATGCAAACTTCTCCTCCCCTATACTATGCCTCCAATTTGTTAGTAGTGGCACATGTGGGTATGTATGTAGTGTTGTCCAGCAAACTATTTATACATTGTTACATTAGGATGGGAAGGATGTGTTTGAGGTAATTCTTAAGGGCTCAACTGCATGCTATGCTGTCACTGAAATAATTAACTCTTGTTCTTAATGGCATGTCTCTTCTCTATGTTCTAGTCTGAACAATTATCTTTTAAGATTCTGCTTAGGGATTTTTTTTGTTTTATTTTGTTCTGTTCTTTTAAAGTTTATTAATATATGTGAAGCCTGGTGCTGCAAATACTGTGGCATTTATTGCTTGATTGATAAGGTTTTAAAAAGCAGTGATTTAATTTCATTCTCCTTTAGAAAGGATTTCTTCACACTTTTCCTTCTCCTGTGTTTTCTTTTTAACATTCCTCTCTTTCCTTCAAGGACTTTGCAGAATTCCACTTGTTTATATACATGCTTAAGAAAAAATCAGAACTTTGTTAGAAAAAAGATTGAGAGCTGATATGTGTTAAGAGTCCTAAATATCAGTGTCTATACATAGATGCCTACCAAAAGCAAAGTTTATGATGTTAATCATTGTGTTGTTTGTGACAGTTTGAGTGCAGTGAATATTGAAGAAATATTCAAGTTTTACAGTTATCCAGTCATGCATTCTTTTTAGTGTTTTTTTTTTTAATGAATGAATTCTACAAGGTGTGCAGGGTTATTACCTCCATGCTCCTCCCACTGATATATAACTCCAAGGCTTTCTGTTATTCCACAGATGCATGCTTTGGAATTCACTGTTTGTAATTTTTTTGGGAAATCAGTAAGACAAGTTGTATCATTGCATTGCCTCAGAAGAATAGGAGGCATTATCATGAGAGTTTATTTTAATGGCTTCAAAGGTGGGTGGGCTGGGCTGGGCTGAGAATAGAGATATATAATAGGGAGAGAACAGGGAGACTTGTATTAAAAAAAGACTTTAAGAGAAAAAATAGAATTATTTTATGAAACTTCAAGAGGAAATATAAGGGTGGTTGAATCATGTTCTACAATTGTTTATTTTTGTGGCATTTTGTTAGAAACAAATTAGATAGCCATTGTAAAAAGGAATTTCAACAGGAAACTCTTCAGATACTTTAGCACAAAATCTCTTGGCCCATTTCCCCTTGTTCCCTGGAGTCTCTTGTCACTTTAGTTTCTGTGAGTTTCCATAGAATATGGTTTTTACCTTTCTTAGAGGTATTATGAAAAAATAGTCATTAACAAACTGGCTGATTTCAACGTAAAGCTCCTCCAAATGCATCAAACAGGTTTTGTTTGATTTTATTCAATCCAAAAAGAGATCAACTACTAGAAATAGTGGAGTGTGTGCCTGGAGAAAATGAAAGAAGGAGATGAACTAATTTCTCCTTCCTCTTTTATGACCATTTTAACATGAAGATATTGGGTACACATTTTATGCACTAAAAACTTGCTCAGGAGGTATATCTGCTTAAAACTAACATGTACATGTTTACTGCCTCTTAAGGCATAAAATTTCCTCCGCACACTTTTGTTCGTAACTATCATACATGAAAAACAAATAAGGAATTTTTTTGTTTGTTTGTTTTCATAACATGAAAACTGCTTGAGGAAAAGTCAAAGGCTGAAACTTTAGGACTTATCACAAGCTGCTGGAATAGCAATTCCTCGACTGCTATCATTGCCACTGTAGCAACTGTTTAAAAATGAAAAGCAGTAAATTAGGGGTGGAAAAATTATAGTCCAAAAGCTGCATGTGGCCCTCCAGCATCTCTTGTGGGGCTAAAAATTTGGGCCTTTTTCTTCGTTTTAGGTGTTTTAAGGAATGCAATGATTGTTTTAAAATTCAACATACTAATGTAGCACCTACTGTACTCCTGAATCCCTCCTCTCAAATGGAGCCTGGCCTTTCCCATTTCTGTATGTCACGTTACATCTGATGTAGCTCCTGAGTTAATGGAAGTTGTATGCTCCTTCACTGCAATTATTATTCCTTAAATCCATTTGGAGTAGTAGCATTTGCAGTTAGTAGATTTGTCTAGTTTTGCCTTGCTTGTGCTGATCACTGGAGATTTAGCCAAAAATATTTAAACAAGTGGTGTTTGAGTAAGAAATCTCTGGCAGGTTGCTATTGAGCCAGTCTGGTAAAACAGAATATGGTGCTAATTGTTGGTTGTATTGCTATTATCTCTTCTATCTCATTACAACCAGCAGACTATTTTAAGAATGGGCTAAGGTTGTGAACTAGAGTAATTGATTCACAGAGGTGTAAGGGATTTGAACCAGTTTGATGCAAAGAAATGCCTGCTGTTTGGACTATAAAATAGCCTCCTAGCAGCTTCTAATTAATCTGGGGCGTTCTGTAACATACCAACCTAGTTGCTCTTGCCTGTCTCCAGGAGCTAGAAAATTTCTTCACATCAGAAAGAATCATCTCCTTTAAGGACAGGGGGAGGCCAGTTATGCGTAATACTGGAATGCAAGGTTGTTCTTGCCTTAGATTATTTTTCCCTTCCTAATTTGGCACATGCTCTATAAAAGCAAATTGTGTTGATTTTTTTCTGTTAAAAGGAAACCTTATTCCATGATGCAGTCAAACCACTAGAGGGTAATATAGAGCTATTGTGTTTTAATGATTTGAGCTTTGTTTATTACCTTGAATCTTAATTTCTCTTTATATGATAAAGCATAAAAGCCCTTCTATACATACAGTCTGTGCAAAGATGCCGTGTGAGTTGTATGTATGAGTTTTCTTTGTATCTGTGCCATGCTTGTGGCCACTTTTGTTATTAGGAGAGTTTGATGGGGTGGGGGTTGAGAAAGAAGACTAGTTTTGCAAATAAAAGGAAAAAAAGAAAAAAGGAAAAGTTCTTTTTTTTAAAAAAAGAGAAGATTTTTACAGACAGAAGAGGATAGAGATTTAAAAATATTAAATGCAGTAATTGCACAAATGTAGTGATATTAGCTGGTCCTTAAAGAAAAGAGTATTTTTACAATTATGAGTGGTAGAGGATGGCATTCAGATAATTTAAATTGGAAAGGAAGAGCAAAGAATGTAAGAAGAGATGCAGCTTCCAAACTGAGGGAGCAAATCCTTATCTTAAAAAAAAATCTTCCTTCTGTTACCCTTAACTTGAAGGAGTAGGGAGAGTGCCTCCTTCCATAGTTATGAAGCCAGAATTTAGCCTTGTTCTGTTTGTCAGGCGGGACTATGTGGCATTTTATTATTAACTTGTTCGTGCAAGTTATCAGTTGTACTTCATGATGATCTGCTGAATTGAATGGGACATGTTGCTGCTTTGTGGTTTTCAGTAAGATCTGGGATCTCTGACAAGCAAGACGTATGTGTGTTTGGTAGCTGTGAAGGAAACATACCCTTATAATCTGGCAAAACGTTCAGTGATAAAGTCAGTTCATTGATACTGAAGTTGGTATACCAGAAATTCTTTTTCTAATCAAATCCACGTTACATCTTTCGTACTTGTATAACCAATATTTTTACAAGTGGGTAATAGCTTTCCTACATTAAGAGATATGATCAGGGCCTTCTTGAAGAAAGCAAAAACTAAAGCAATTTTCCCCACATTGGCACAGTCCAAATGCGTTAGAATTGCAACTCCCAAAATTCCCCGTCATTCAGTAGTTACAGTGTGTAAGAAAGTTGGAGAACCACAACATGGGAAAAACTGCACTAAACTAATTCTGATGGCTTGGCCCATGGTGATTATTTTCATCCTGAGACATAAGGAAAATGAGATGAAAAAAAGCAAGGATAGCCTTGCAAATCAAATATACTGTTAAAATATTTAAGGAAGATATATAATGAAAGGGCAATATGATGCACGTAATTCACAATTGCCCAAGGTGGTAATTGTGTATTTATTTTATCCATAAAAATCACCTATGAAGTGCTGATTGTATAAGCTGAGTGTGAACAAATGCTAAGAAAGAATTCACACAACCCAATGACAGTGTAACAGTAACGCCTATATTAGATTTCCTATTACAGTCCTTGTAATCTAAATGTGTGAATACCATGTTAGTCATATGGGCAAATACAGATCAGATCATTGATGTGGAAATTATAGGGCAGGCATTGGACAAGAATGGGGAAAGATAGCTATTCTAGTGTAGTGCTATAGTATTCGTTATAATTTTGATGTTTTTGCTTGCATGGAAATTTGCATTTTTGTTTTGACTCTTAATTTTTAATGTCTCATAACCTGCAACAAGGGTTAATGGAAAATTGAAATCTACTTAAGAAGAAACATTAGATGTATTCCTAAGGAAACATACTACTGCTCCCTAATGTATCCAGATTTGTGCCTGTATTTTACAGATAACTATTTTTCATCTATTCACTCTTAGAAAAGCTTTCTCAGCTATTTTTTATTAGTTGAACTATGATATCTTTGCTCACTGAGATTACTATTTCACTCCATACTAATCAAACTTTCTTATACCCTCTGGACTGATAAGACTACACTCTTAACACTGAGAAGGCTTGTAATTCAACCTATTTGGAGACCTTAAGAGTAGAGAAGGGAATGCTTCTAACAGCTATGCAGCACATAAAACTTTCTGTGTCTCCTTAAAGTAGCTGTATTCTTTCTCAGTATCATGTGGCAGCTCCCATGATCTTGGGAAAAGACACAACTACTGTAAGATGTTGCAGACAGATATTGTATTCATACTCCTGAGTGTTCCCAGATACCTTCCAGACATTAATCCAACCACAGCCTTAGGTTGTTGGTTGACTTGATACATAAAATGAACTGTGAAAGATTAAAGTATGGCAACAATAAGCCACTCTTCAGGTTCTGTGGACCCTTCTCAAGGGGATAATTTCTTTTATTACTCAATAACTCAGTTCTGCCCATTTGAAGATTATCTCTCTGTGTATATTATTGTGATTGGTTGTTTTTAATTGATTTTTAAAATAATGTTACCTGCCCAGAGCTGCTGCTTATGAGATGGGTGGCTATATAAATTATCTGAGATAAATTACAGAAGAATAATCCCTTTATTTTAATTTCTATTTAACAGGGATGGAGTACTGAGTTGAGTGTCAGTGTAACATTTGTGTTTCTTTTTCTGTTTAGAATAAATTTGATTTCTTTGCTGCATTTCCTGCTGTCCATCTTCTATAAAGCCTAGATTTGGGTAATTGATATGGAGGGAAAAACAAGATAGTGAAGAGAATTCACAAATTGCCCCTGTTGGGGAATTAAGTTTATGAAGTAAATGGGAAAATGTTGGGATCCAACATTTGTAGGATTCCTGTTGGGTCATGGGTAAAGTAATGTAATAGATTTGGAATGTATTTCTAGTTGGTCAGGTTCCACTACCATTGTGTCTCTGTTCGCACTCCTTGCTTCTTGCCCCAAGGCCTTGCACTGTTTTGCCTGGTGCATTCATGTTCCAGTGTTGCTTGCTTTGCTGTTTTTGTGACTGTCTGCTGATAGTGCAAAGCTGGGATATTTTCAGTATAAGTATATGTACTATGTATATATAAATAAATAATCCTCCATTTAACCCACCACCATGCTTTGTGATAACAAAGACAGCTTGGGCCAGTAGTATGACCATAATTTTGAGAACTAGGAATACCTAGTTGTGGTCTAAAAGAATGCTGTGATTTATAAGCTGTTTAGTTTTATTTTCGAGATCTCCTTTTTCTCTAGCTGAAATTGGTTCTAAGAGGAAGAGGAGAAACTTGCTGTTCTCAGTGCTTATAAACACTGCTGAATATTTATACTTCCCTTTAATATTTCCCTAATTAAATATTAGCTTTCACTTAACTTACACATTGAGAATCCTAAAGAGATGAAGTTTGGGACTGGAAAATTCTCCTTCCCCACATGACTTTTTTTCAGCTTTATACAACCTCTAATCCAGTCGTGAAATCCGAACTTGTTTGCTACCGGTTCACTGGCCGTGCATGCGTGCTGCACGCAAAGCATGCACTACACGCGTGCATGTGCAGTTCGCATGCACAATATACACCAAAAGGAGGCTTGGGAAGGTAAGTAGAACAGCTGGGGGGGAATCAGCTGTGGTGCACAATCTTGGGAACCATTTTATTAACTTTTTAAAAGCATTTTTTACTACCTATTCGCCCGAACCGGTAGTAAAAAAATGCGTTTAAAAAGTAAAAAAAAAGATTCCAACAATCGCGCAGCTCCAGCTGTGATCTTGGGAACCTTTTTTTTTTTTTTACCTTTTAAAAACATTTTTTAACTACCGGTTCCGGTGAATAGGTAGTAAAAAAATGCTTTATAAAAGTTAAAAAAAAAGGCTCAGATGATCACAGCTGGAGCTGCGCGATTGTTGGAAGTCCGAGCCTTTTTTAAAAAATTTTATAGCATTTTTTACTATTATTTGTCCAAACCGGTATTAAAAAAATGCTTAAAAAGTAAAAAAAAATATATAAAAAAAGTTCCGACGATCAGTTGAGCAACGCGCGATCGTCAGGTTGTGGTTTTTTTGTTTTGTTTTTTTGTTTTGTTTTTGTTTTTTTTACTTTTTAAGCATTTTTAACTACCGGTCCTGGAGAACCGGTAGTAAAAAAATGCTTAAAAAGTAAAAAATGGTTTAAAAGTTTTTTAAAAAGTTCTGATGATGCGTGTCGCTCAGTTGATCGTCGGAACTTTTTTTTTTTTACATTTTTTTTACTACCGGTTCGGTGAACCGGCCTGAACCGGTAGCATTTCACCCCTGCTGTAATCTGACCTATGCATGATCTGTTTTTTATTGGCTTAAAGATTATTTATCAGTGTTACTTCTGAATGATTAAATGACGTGAAAAACATGAAACTGCCTTACACTGTATTGTTAGCTGTTTATTCAGTCTGGCTGAGTACTGATTATACTTATGGGCATGACCTCTGTGAGACAGAGAGATTTCAATAGGTGATTCCTGAGATTGAACTCAAGCTTCCATTCCAGCAAAATATGTTGCTATTAAGCTACATGCTTCCCAATATAATTTTTATATCCCCTTGCTTATACCAAGTCCTGAATATTTTTTTTACTACCCTGTTTCCCCCAAAGTAAGACATCCCCTGATAATAAGCCCAATTGGGCTTTTGAGCACATGGCAATAAGGCCAAGCACTTATTTCAGGATTCAAAAAAATATAAGACAGGGTCTTATTTTGGGGGAAACACAGTATATACTTTGAGGGAACTTCTAAAACTCAAGGGCAGATGAAGTTATCCTGCATCTATGTATCTAGACTTGACATTCACATAGAATCAGAACCTTCCCCAAGTTTGGAATTCTGCAATTGGTTAATTGTGCAATTGATACTCAATATCTAAAAAATTTGGATTATTTAAAATCTTTTTTAAATGATTGCTAACTAAGCAAAACTTGATGGAAAAAATGTCAAAATTACAGAATTAGCTAATTTTGCTCCTGCAAAATTTGCAGAATTAGCTAATTAGCAGAATTCTGAGTAATGATAGCATATTTTCAGTGTCATGTATTATGTTTAAAGAGGGTGCACAAGGTTTCAGATTCGAAATATTTTAAGTATGAAACAATTCTGACCATTCCAGACGTATTTTGAAATCAGTGTGAGCTCTTTGATACTCAAGTTTTATTCCTTGAATTTGAAATAGTTTCTGGAATAGTTCAGGTAATCCATTTTAAACTTAAAACAACTGTTGTGAATTGAGTGTTTCAAGCCCCTGTTCATTATAAATATGTGCAATTGTTTTTAATTTGTATAAATTAGAATCCTGCAAACTCTAGATTACTTTTTTGTGAAATTTCATTTGCATACATACCTATAAGTGTTCTATGGATGCATATGTACACATGCACGCACATAAGATCATTGAAATGCATAAGGCTTAGTTAAGGAAAAAATTGCTGAACAAAACCAATGCAATCTCAGTTACTGTATATTATGAAAATGTAATAGTTATGGTATTAGGAAAACTAAATTCCTCTAGGGATTGACAGATGTAATTTACAGCATCTTCACTATCAGTCCTGCAGAGAGTTGTAGTCCAACAACATCTGAAAAACTATTTTTTCCTACAGTTGGTAATAGCAATTGTTCATATGAGTACAAAAATTCTACAGTGCTCAGATAAATCCTTTGGGGTTTACCTGGTTGCATTCTTTTTTATTCAGTAGAGTAGATAATTTTTTCCCTATATGTGAATTTTTCTAAATATCACAGTTAAAATGTTGACAAGGAAGAAGCATGCCCCAGAGATGTCTGGTTCCTGAATCTCGTAATTTCCTAATGAGTGGCCCTTATCTGGCACTTGCCTCATAAGGGCTGCAGAGAACATCTGAACAGGCATCACATTCTTTGCTTGTGAAGATGGAAGACAGCTGCAGTGCAGTTTTACTTACAGTACTTACCAGAAAGAGTACTTTAGGAGAAAGAGACCACATCTAGTATTATATGAATAGGCAAGAAAGAGAAGTAGGAGAAAACCAAGGAGTATAGAGTTTTTAAAATGAATTTTATCTTTGCAGTGGACAGTAAATTATTGTTAGAGGTGAAGCTGCTTGGGAGATTATTGTAAATGTTTCCTTTGATTAAATTCATTCAGATCATTTAGAACCATGAAAAACCTGGTTCCTGGTTTATATAGCACTTAAAAATATTGTAAGCACATAATTTAAACTCTGCATTATCATATTGGCAAACTTTTTGTGCCATGTTAAAGGATCCCCCCTTTATCTAAAAATGCTTCCCACATCCCCAGATTGTGTCTGTCAAATAATGAATTATTCCTATTTATAGGAATGACTTGTAGCAGCGAATATTTATTATTCAGAAGACAACAGAGAGCCTGTTAAGATTCTTTAATTTTGCAGCATTTGGAGATAGTTATATATATTTACTTGTTTTGTTATAGTTTGAGGCACTTCAACAAATAGGAAATTTTCCATGTTTCATATTTGATTGTCAGGAAAGCACTCCCTGTTTCTGCTGCATTATTACTGTTCTATCAAGCCAGGTAAATATTACAATTATCTGTATCTGTCCTTGCCGGCTGCAGTTAGTAATGGGAGACAGTCCTGTGGTGTTTATAGGATCTTATCAGCAATAAGGTAGATACTCTATAATTTGAAAACAGAAGTTTTTGTAGCTGCATCACTAGTTCAATTCCAAAAAGGCACTTTGGAGCATATAAGAGCAGGAATGTAGCACTTGTCTGCATTTCTTTAAAGCAGCCATATCATCTCAGTGATGTACTAGTGCTTTAAAGATCTGTAGAGAGAGAGAAAGATTATGTTTTCACTCTCATGTTCTCCAAAATACTTTTTTGAAAATGAATCTGAATACTGCAAGCCCTAATAATTTTAAATCCAAGAATTTACAGGACCTGAAATGCAAAAAAGAATGCAGGAATAAAATGATGGGAAAATATGTAAATATTTTCAAGGGAACAACTAAGTACATCAGATTTGCTTCATGTTCTTAGTGCTATCACATAGAGATTAATATAGCTAACAGCTCTAGTGAAGTTCCTGATGTTTTATTCCTCCTAAATTTTCGAATGTTATATGCAAACCGCTTGAAATATATCTCACAATATGTCCTATTGGTTCTATTCAAGGAAAATCTCCTACTTTCACATGAACAATTACAGGGAGGCATAGAATCGGTGCTTATTCCTTTACTGCATACATTGTTAGGCTTCCCAAGACCAGGTCTCAATCTTGCCAAAACTGATGCTCGTGTAGGGTGAAGAGAATTATTGTATTTGTGGTCCTTAATAACACAAAGAGTTTTGTAACTTTTTTGGAATATTAATGTGGGCCTTACAAATGTTCAGATATTTGAGTGAATCTGCATAAGCTTGGGCATTTAGTTTTTACAAAATTGAGACCTTATGGTGAAGAGTAAGCTAAAGTTTAAATTTATTAAGTTCTTACCTCTTGGCATACAAATAGGCTTTAAAAACAAGAGCTATATATCTGGTGACTATTTTGTATTATGAGAAAAATGCATTTAATGAAACAGTTGTACACGAATTAAATGTTATCTAATACTATGTTGTCTTAATTACTTTTTAAATATAGTGTTTGCATTTGCTTGGTTGCTTTTTAAAATCCAGTGTTCAACTGGCTAAACTGTCTAGAGTGGATGGCTGGGAAGCATTACACAGTGGGTGATTTAATCACCCATTGACATTTTTATTAGAGAAGGGGGTTGCTTCGAGTTTGCGGTGGGGGGAAGTTATGCTAATTATTCTTGTATCTTTGTACATTTGTTCTTTCTGTTGCTCTTGAATATTGTATCAATGCCAGAACTGGGGAATTATGTGAAACCCCAATAAATTGTTACATTCCAAACTATCTGTCTCAATTTTATGTTCAACCATCTTGTATTGCTACACTAAAGACAGAACTGATCTCTTGATTTCACTGATTATCTTCTAGCAAAATCAGTCTGTGCTACAGCCAATACCCTATAGGCACTGTACTTCAATATACATATAATTATTTTGCCTACAGCCACTTCATTAAAATTAGTGGCAATTCTTTTCCCCTCCTCTTTCTCTGTCTTTTGAAACAGTAATTGATTTCCATTTGGCTTTGTTTGCAAATTTTATTATTTTCAGAACACTTTCAGAAGTATCCCCTACCTTTTTAATCACATTGATTTGGATGGATTATAAAATTCTAAATATAACAATACTGAAGAAGTAAGATATTACAACCAAGGATTTCCTTCCTGTATTGATTATGTGTCATAAAAATACAGCTGTGTATAGAAAAAGGAAAATTCATCTCAAATTTTACTTGTTTCTCTTCAAAAGCTTATTCTCCTGAACACCCTATTTGATTGCAAATGGAAATCTATGTTCTGTTTTTGTTAAATGGATCTGAATTGCAGACTATATCAAGCTAATTATTATTATGATACTTTATCCCATCTTTCCCAAATGACACATCAACTTCATTTTCAAAAATTAGTATTAATAATTTCTCTGACAATGGTTTTAGTGGGAACTTCTGTTTTACTTCACTTATGTTGCATTTGTGAGGGGAGGGTTGCATCAAACTAATTAGATTTTTTTAAAAAAATACTGTATTTCTTCGTTATATTCATTAGAAAATAATGTGTGGTTGAAATGTATTTTTTAAAAAGGCATAGACACATCTCATGTACAAAGCAACTATAAAGGAAAACATAACTGAATTGCTGCTAAAAACCCTTTCCGTTCTCCCTTTGTCAGAAAATGATGAATTCAGTTACACATAGATGATATACAGCAATCCACTGTAGACAAAAGTAGTTAATATAAATTTTAGTTTTCATTAGTTTTTTGTAAAAGTGGATTACCATTTTAGAATGAAACTGTTTTTCCAAAGCCAATAGCAGCTATGGTACTTAAAAGCATCAGGATTAAAATAGGCCAGATAAGAAAAGGTTATGTTCATTTATGAAAACATGTTACAATTAATTTTTATAAATTCATAATGTTCTGAAGATCAAATTTACCTTAAAAATCTCACATTAACCTGTTATTTTAGAGTAAACTTGTGTTGTAAGCTTTTCCAGTGGTAAAATAGCCTGCAACCCAGTATTTCCCATACACTATATATGTTGCATTAAAATAGATGACAGAACAAATAATTCAGTATTTTCCAAGATATATGTAAAGTCAATAACTTTCAAATTGAACATTTAGGATTGAATTCTGAAAATCTTCGAACCAGTAATGAGCTAAAACAAAGGCTAACCAATAAAGCTGAACATGTGGCAAATTGTATCTCCCTTTCCCAAAAAGTAATTTAGTTTACACGATGAAAACCTTACCAAAGTTAATATCTTATAAATTAACTCATTTAAATTACACATTGATCTTACCCCTAATATGAGAAAAAATACTTTGATCAGCAAGTCAAAGGTAGTACAGATTTACCAACTGAGTGGGCTTTCTTGAATTTTTTATTCCTAGATTGAGTAAAAAAAAAATCAAAATTCAAACAACAGTATCTGAATTTTCTATACTTATCAAAATTCTTACAGAGACCTAGTGGTATCATGTCTTATTTGCTTCAATTTATAGACTGAGTAAGTAAGATACTTTTTGATAAAAAGCAAAAAAAAAAAAAAACATTTCATATACTTTCATAAGGTCATTTTCCAACAGAGTACCCTGGATCCTGCTTGAGTCTGCACCCTCCTAGAACCTAGGACACTCAGGCAGTATTAATTATGGAGATCTTGAAAGAAATTCCTTATTCTCTTGTTTGGTGCATGTTAAAATGATGCTGTTTTGCAGTGCATGTCACTAAAATATCTACTGTTGCAACTTCCTTATTGAAGTAACTGGGACAAAAATCTAAGCTGAGAAATGTTAAACAGAGTCTAGCATAGGTAATAAATAAGCCAAAATAACAGTCTCAAGAATCTTTATCATTATGGCAGTGGTTCCAACAAGTTTTTCCCTATTCCTTCCTGGCATTTTGTCAAACTGATAATATGCCATTTTTTTGTCATGCTTTTAATCCAAATTTAAGGATTCAAGTGGCCATGCAGGGTATTTTAGCTGAGGTTTTTAAAAATTCTTGATAGTTATTCTCTTGTACATGTCCAAGATGGGAATATTGGAGAGTTACAAAGACTCTGAAATAAAGTTCATATAACATTAAGGCTAAGTGTGTGGTATACCTACTGATGGCTAATGTTCCTGAACATGTTTCCCTGAGAGATGCCTTCCTTCCATTTTAAAGGATAGCTGAATGGTAAGTAATGACACAGAGTGTAAGTATCTGGTACACCTACATTAATAGGAAATGACGCTAATTTCTCCTAAACTAATTGTCATGCCAATGACTTTGTACAGCTTGAGTAATTCAGGATGTGTTGAATATCAAGAGAGAATAGGTTAGCAGCAGCCAGTTCTCACTGAATTAAATATAGCCTGAAAACGTGTTTGAATAGGAATACCATCTGTCCCATATGAATCATAGTGCCTTTCTCTGTATCAAAAGTATCAAACATTGACAAAAACTCAAGAACCCCAAACTTCCAGAATGCAACATTTGCTTCTATCATGGAAATTACTCAAAATGGATTTGTTGCTCCATTACAAGAAAAGAGTCTGAAGACTGATAAAACAATTATGATTTTGTGAATTAAAGTGTTTTATGAAGATATATTTATTTCCCTCCTCAATCCATGGAGAAATTAAGCAATGTATATTCTCCTTATTTCAGTTTTTCTGCTCAATTGGCTTTCAAACTATAAAATTAAAAGACAGAGCACAATCTATTACAGCAGGACAAAATCAATAGAATAAAACCCTGTCTTGAGATTGAGTCGATTGAGAAGCTGAGCCAGCACTGGCATGGAGATCCTGGTTCTTTTTGTGCTAAGGCAGCTGCATGAGGCTTTCCCTGCTGAAGGGGAAAAAATGGGCCTTAAGAAAATAGGTAAAATTGCTAGATGGAAACTTTTGGTCAAATAAGATGCTACAGCTACTTTTGTGGAACAAATAGAACAGGTAGTCCTTAATTTGCAACCATTTGTTTAGCAACTGTTCGAAGTTTCAGTGGTACTGAAAAAAGTGACTTATGACTAGTCCTCGCATTTATGACTGTTGCAGCTTCCCCATGGTCACATGATCACAACTTGGCACCTAGCATTTATATATGATGATTGTGGACTTCCAGAAGTCACATGATCACCATTTGTCACCTTCCCAGTTTCTGACAAGCAAATTTAATGGGGGAAGCTGGATTCACTTAATGACTGTGAGTGATTTAACAATTACACTGATTCATGGCAAAAAATGTAAAATTGGACATGAGTCACTTAACAACATAAATTCTAGTCCCATTTGAGGTTGTAACTCAAAGACCACCTGTAGCAGAATTGCAAAATTTTGCTTTAAGTATTTGCCTTGGGGATTTTTGTGTGGTTCCCCCCCCCCCATTTTAAGGATTAAATTAACATTAAAAATTTCCCTTCTCACGTTCTCTCACAAACTATAATCAGAAGAGAAGAGTAACTTCATAGATTTCACTATGGGTGAGTTGGGAGGCTAGGTACAGGTAGTTCCCAATCTATAGCCATTCATTTAGTGACTGTTCAGAGTTACAACTGAAAAAAGTGACTTATAAAATGGTCCTCATACTTATAATCATCACAGTATCCCAATGGTCACCTAATCAAAATTTGGACTCTTGGCAACTGGCATGTATTTATGCTGGTCACAGCATTCTGGGATCATGTGATCACCATCTGAAACCTTCCTAGGAGGCTTTCAACAGGTAAGATCAATAGAGAAAGCTGTGTTGGCTTAACAACATGATTCATTTAACAACTACAGTGATTCACTTTAAAACCAAAATCAAGCATGACACATATACAACCACCATGCTTAGCAATGGAAATTCTGGTCCCAACTATGGTCATAAGTTGAGAACTACCTCTAAATCTATTTAATAAATAAATAAATATAGAATTCTCATAGACTAATTAAGAAGTTTTGATCTAGGAGATGTTTCTTGAGAAACTTGGAACTTGTTCTATAATGAAGCAATGGCATGCATTCTAGAGAGAGCTCAAAGTTAAACATGCCAAAAATGTTACTAACCTAGATCAATTGAATCAGAACTCTTATATTCTGAGGAATTTAAATATTCAAAGGCCTGGTTAGTCTGAAATCAAAGTCATGCCAGTGATTCCTTTTCTCTGAGTCAACCCACTTAAAATGGCAGATTTTAAGCTTGGGCAAACAGATTTTTCTGTTTTGCCTCTTTAATTTGTAGGATATTCATTTTTCACAATAAAGGGACTCAATAATAGGCTATATCACTGTAAGAGTCTGATCCTGCTTGCTGCCTTGATGATGTTTTTCCTTGCCTATGTCTCAAAACGGTTCTTTCTATCTCTGCTGATTATTACAGATTTCTCCTGTGTCCCATGGGTTCTCTTTCTTCAATTTCTGCATATTATTTTCCTGGTATCTTTCCTGTTCCTTCATCTACTGCTTCAGTATTTCATTCTTAACACTGCTGGCTGGTTTCTGAAAAATGAAGTGTTTTGGTTGTTAGTTACAAGTGGCAGTGTTTCACACAGGCAAAGCCAGTTGGCTACTTCTTCATTTTCTAGACTTCTTTAGTCAAACCCAACTAGCTGTTCTCCAAATCAGTTTCATCTCTTGGAGGAAAAAGAGAATTTATTTCCCACACAAAAACTTTCACTGTTTTCCTCTTAGGAATACTTAAGGTAACTTATTTTTCTAATACCCTGTATTTTTTTGTTGTTGTTTTTGTCACATGCTGATTTTTGCTACTACTGTTTTCCTCCATGTTGCTCCAAGTCATGAACTTTG